AATAAGTCCAAAGTCTAGTAGCTTTGGGCGGATTGGAAATTTCACCAAGTCGGGAATAAATCCTAGTTCTAGTAGCTTTGGGTCGGTTTCGGCCAAGTCTGAAATGCATCCAAGTTCTAGTAGCTTTGGGTCGGTTTCGGCCAAGTCTGAAATGCATCCAAGTTCTAGTAGCTTTGGGTCGGTTTCGGCCAAGTCTGAAATGCATCCAAGTTCTAGTAGCTTTAGCAAGTTCTAGTAGCTTTAGCAAGTTCTAGTAGCTTTAGCAATATCTAGTAGTTTTAGTAAAGTCTAGTAGCTTTAGCAAGTTCTAGTAGCTTTAGCAATATCTAGTAGTTTTAGCAAGTTCTAGTAGTTTTAGTAAAGTCTAGTAGCTTTAGCAAGTTCTAGTAGTTTTAGCAACGTCTAGTAGCTTTAGCAAGTTCTAGTAGTTTTAGTAAAGTCTAGTAGCTTTAGAAGAGTCTAGTAGTTTTAGTAAGTTTTAGTTATCTTAGTAAGTTTTAGTTATCTTAGTAAAGTCTAGTAGCTTTAGTATACTAAAATATACTTTTTTAGTATATATATTTTATATCTCTTAGTATATTTATAATTAAGTAGTAGTATAGATATATTATTTATTTAAGTTAGAGTTATTTTTTTTATTCTTATTTCTACTTTACTAGTAGTATTTTCTACTATAGCTATAGAATATACTAGTTTTATTAACTAAACTATATATACTATTTTTTTATTAGTACTATACTACTTTACTTTACTTTAGTATATAAGTTACTTAGTAGTACTCTACTACTATTTTATAACTATATTTTTTTAAGTACGTAAGTAGTCTATTACTAAAAAATATACTTTACTAACTTTTTATTATATTATTATTATATTATTAGTATAGTACTATTTCTATTCTACTATATTATTACTACTTAAAGTTCTAGACTTTAGATTATATTTTATAAAGCTACTAGACTTTAGATTTCTTTACAAAGCTACTAGACTTTAAATTTCTTTATAAAGCTACTAGACTTTACATTTTTTTTACAAAGCTACTAGACTTTACATTTTATAATTATAATTAAATCTATCTATTTATATTTAATCTCTTACTATTATAAGACTTAAAAGTAGTAGCTAATTTTTAGTTTTAGGTAATTTAAAGAATATATTAAGTATTCTAGAGTATATAAAGATATATATATATACTAAGTATATTAATAAAAACTTTAAACGTTTTCTCTAATAATAAAGTTAACGCTAATTTAATAGTAATTACTATATACGTTACTATTTAGCTCTAAATTCTAGAACTTTTCTATAAAAAGATATAGATAGAAACAAAACTATAGATATAGTATAGAGAAGTAAAAGCTTTATAAAAGTAAACACTACTAGATAGTCTAATTAGTAGATAAGAGTAATAAGTAGTACTAGACTTAGAGAATTTTAATAAGTAAGAATAGCTCTAGATTAAAGACTATAGTAAGCTAACTCTATAGTAAGATAGATAAGGTAATTTTATAGAAAAGAGTAGAAGCTAATTTACTTACAACAAAGACTTTATTTAATAGTTAACTAGAATTATTATATAAGATTTGTGTAAAATACTATTATAGCGAAAATGTAAGAATATAGCCTTAGTAAACCTCTACGGTATACTTTAAGCTATCTTCTTACTTTAACTTTGAATACTTCTATCTCTAAAGCTACTAGACTTTGCGAATAGATAGTATTCACTAGTTAGAACTAGTACTATCTAGTACTAGCTTCTAACTAGCTCTTCTCTATATAGTTCTAGCTACGCGCTCTTCTAGCTCTGCGTCTACTATTCTCTTCTCTTAAATATAGAACCTATTTAACTAGCTTTATTTCTATACTTAACGTTTACCTTATATAATAGTAGACTTCTTAAAGCTATAGCTTACCTGTAGGCGTCTAGCCTTAATAAAAGCGCGTAGTTCTTACGCGCTCTTAGTTGTTGTATAGTGCGCAAAGTTAGCGAGGCTCTTTGCTAAGTTAGCGCTGAATTGCTATTAATAATAGCCTATTTATTTATAGATTTGAATATTTAAGCGTTAATAAGTTCTTTAACTTTAGCTTTTAGGCTATAGAGAGTAGCGCTAACTACTATTATAATAATTTAGACTCTATCTTAGTACGCTAGAGAGTAGAAAAGAATAGTTACTCTGCTACAGAATAGCCTTTTGCTACCTAACAGCCTAGAGCTACAGCCTTTGCTCCGCTCGCCTACCTATCTCTAACACGTCTGCGCGCGCGCCTAGTTTAGCTAGTTAATAGCCTAGAGTTACTACTTTTACTCTACCTACCTATTCCTAACGCGCCTGCGCGCGCCCGCTATTGCTCTAGAATTTAGATTCTAGGAGCTAGTAAATACCTAGAATTAGTACGTTACGAGGGCGGAAAATTTGCTTTCTTTACTGCTTGCTCTCTCTGTACTCTGCTGATAGCGCTATTTTCTCTAGATTAGCTATTACCTACAGCGCCTTTGTAGCTGTCTAACCTTTTATAGTTTAAGACTCTACATAACTAAAACTTTCTTCTGCTTGTTCTACGCATCTGCGACAGCCGCTTAACCTACTGTATAGGTATTTAGCCTTCTTCTAAATTAACTATTTCTATAGACAGATAAAATAATAAAAGCTGCCTACTATGCGCTTCTACAGAAGCTATAGCAACTCTAGATATAATATCTAGAACTTCTAAGGACTCTATATTAGTAACAAGCATAGACTACTAGCTTAAATTGCTAACCTTCTATAGTGTCTCTACCTATTTGCCTACTAATTAAAATTATAGTTGCAGCCTATCGCCTTGCAATAGCCCTCTGTCTAGCTGCAGCGTTGCTTCTAGCGAAGATTAACAAGCTAGCAACGCTAATAGAGTAGTACACTATTTACGCTACCCGCAATATAGCTACTATAAGAATAATATATCTAGCCTACGTCTATAACGTCTCTCTTGTTTCTAGTTAAGTTTAGCGTAGTCTGCACGCACCTTAGGCGACTACGCTAACTCTAACAGTACTCTAGACTTCCGCAGCGAACTAGCGTTCTCTACTAGTTTAGCCTGCGAACAAGCTTATAGTTCCGCTTTAGCGCAATCTGCTTACGCTACTAGCAATCGCGCTAAGTTAGACACAGCAGCTAACTTTTACAATGAATAGGCTTCCTCTACTAGTTTAGTTAGCGAGCAGGATTACTATCTAGCTTTACAACAAATCGCCCGCGCTACTAGCGATTGCACTAGATTAGACGCTGCTACTAACCTTCGCAGTGAGCCCGCGCAATCTCCTACCTTAGGCAGCAATTACTCTTCTCGTAAACTAGCGATTTCTACTAGTTCTAACAACAGCCACTTTTACGACGCACCTGATTCCGCTACTAATTTACAAAGCAAGCACGCCGACTAGCCTTCTTTAACGCTATCCGCCTACGCTACTAGCGGCAACGCTGAATCTGACGACAACAATGCTCTATTAGGCACCTGCATCTGCTCTTCTAGCCGCTCTTCCTCTGATTTAGCATAACTTTAATTTATGTAGCGCAACAGGCAGAGGCCGCTCGCGCGCCCGCCGCCCAGCTCCACGCTGATAATGCCTGGCTCACCCCAGTGGTTAAACAGCGCTGTAGTCAACTTTAACGGCTTGGCGCGTACGCCCACCATCCCATGTTTCCCTAGACATGGCGCTTGGAAGGCACCACCCCATACAAGGTGTAGGAACGCCATTCGGCTCGATTTTCGCGTTCCGGGGTTAAGGTGGCGGAAAACACCTCGGAGGTGCGCTGTTTTGTATAAGAATCTGTGTAGACATGCGCAGGCCTATACAAACTATAAACTATATCCTCTGGATTTTGACATAGTTAAAAACTTTTGACTTTTTTCTTTAATTCTCTCTTATTTCCTATGCTAGTTAGCGGATCTAGCTAGAGGACTAGCTACGGCCTTTTCGAAGGGAGGGGCACATGTAAGGACATAGCCTCGGCAAACCTCTACGGTATACTTCGAGCTATCTTCTTACTTCGACTTCGAATACTTCTATCTCCAAAGCTACTAGACTTTGCGAACAGATAGTATTCACTAGTTAGAACTAGTACTATCTAGTACTAGCTTCTAACTAGCTCTTCTCTATATAGTTCTAGCTACGCGCTCTTCTAGCTCTGCGTCTGCTATTCTCTTCTCTTGAATATAGAACCTATTTAACTAGCTTTGTTTCTATGCTTAACATCTACCTTACAGAAAATTTGTTAATGCTTTCTAATTTAGGCAACTAACAATATAGTAGACTACGAGACAGTTGCTCTTCTGCAACTATAAGAAAAATAGTCTATAGTAGCGAAGGGATTAAGCTGTAAGCTTACCTAGCGAAGAGAAAGTAGCGTACGCTTATTATTATAAGGACTTAAAGAGTAACACTAAATACTATACTGTAGTTTCTACGATTATTATATATATTATAGTTCTTCTATTCTTTAGATATTAAAAACACGAACAATTCCTAAGATTATACAAACTATATTACCTTACTAAGCTACCTAAATTATTTGCTGTCTACCTCACAAACTAGAATTAAAAATGCATTCTCTTCTCGTTATTAACTTCTTCGTCTTCTACGACGGTATAGAAGTCTAGCGCGCTAAATTAGCCGCTACGATTGCTGAAGAGCTTAAGGACTACAGTGCTATGCGCCTTATTAACACTTCTATTAGCGTATCGACGATTAAGGAAGGCTTTAAATAGGTAAGCACCAACCTCTTTTAAGCCTTAAAAGTGACGGGTTTAGAAGAGACTGCTGACGTTGTGCGATTTTCAATCGTAGGGCAAAGGGTTCTTCTCGCTCCCCAACGAGGAGAAAGCGGCTACTCCCAACGAACGCAATGCAGGCCCCTAGCGAGGCTAGAGCTATGTCAGATCAGAGAACACGTCTAAGCTCGATACGATCAACAACGAGGGTTTGGAGGATGAAAAGGCAGCGACGAAACCTCCCTATTGCAATGCTTGCCAGCCCTAGAGGAGTGAAGAACATTATTAACACCGATGTGAAGCAACATTTCAACCACAGCTTGAGAGACAACACTGAATTTCCTAGCAAATGGCCCGCCGAGTCCAGCATCCCGGGATACCGCGATTTCATGGAAGAGCTTTTGGTCAAGGGCCACACGGTCGGGCGCGAGGTACTGCAGAACCTGGAGGTAGGCCTCAGCCTGCGCCCAGGTGAGCTGCTAGAACGCTGTTGCGAAGCTCCTATCATTGATGAGCTCTGCATAAACTACTACGCGCCAATCTCGACAGAGAAGCTTAACATGGGGAAATACCGTCGCGCGTAGCCACACAGCGATTTTGGCATGATTGCCCTGCTATTTTAGGACTACGCTGGTGGTCTTGAGGTACAGGATCGCTTCAACGATAAGAGGGATACTTTCATTCTGATTTAACATGAGTACCCGTCGAAGATTAATGTTTATGTCAGTAATAGCCTTGAGTACATGACAAATAATTATCTTAGGGCCAGGCTGCATTAGGTTGCGACGCCGATTGATATGTAGGATGTGGAAAAGGGTACGTTACTGGAGCGCTAGTCTATTGCTTGCTTCATCAAACCTCGTCGTGTGGTCAACGTTGGGTCCATGAAGCAGTTCATTATTGTAGAGAGGCCGAGAGTGTATGAGGATCTGACTGGGTTAAAACTTCATAGGTTTAGGGTTGGAAAGCTGTATGGTGTAACTAGTGTGGCCTGATGTCTACAACATTTATTTGAGTAAGCGCAATGATCGCGATGACTGGAGGATAGGGACTGAAGGGATAAAGGCAAGTAATCCATTCTTTTAGCAATATAAAACCCGAAAGTCTCTCTTACTGGTACGTACCTAGTGATGAACTCTATGCCAGCGTCTTCCTGAAGGTTAACGGTTATCTAGATATAATCATACATCTTCTATTACGTAGGATAACTACACATTCAACCCTTCGAAGCCATACTTAAACTGGCCTTTAAACTCCCTCTCCGAAGGCGCCTAGGCGGGATCCTTACAGTTACATCACTAGATGCCTGAATGAACTAGAGGGGACGTCTTGTCCTCGTCCTTATAGGCTTACTCGGATGCCTTAAAGGCAAAAGAATTGTCCTCGTAGTAGGTCTTTGTAGTAATGAGGGGGTGAACTTAAAGTCTGGTCAGACTGAGAGGACGTTTCGAACGAGGACACGGGTGGAGGAGAGGGGTATTCGCGATTTTGGCCATGAGGGGTTGAAGTTGATGATGGATAAGTATTGGTAGTGTAGCTTCGAGATGTGCAATTTACAGTTAAAGTTGAAGCAGCTACGCTGAAAATATTGATGCAGGTAAGGATGTTAGGGTAGAAACGTCCTAATAGTGGCTCTTAGTGGGAAGGCGATAGCTAGAGACGTGTTGTGGGAGCACTATAGACTGTGTTTGTGCGCAGCACGCGAGATAGCGGGAAGACGCGCGAATAGGCGGGAACAGTTCCTTGTTGGGCACCTTGGAAATAGCTTGCAAAGGACGTGTAGGTTATGGCAGGAGAGGCAAGAGATGCTACGAGGCTTCAAGGCGCGTCTCGGTGTGGTGAAAGAACGCCTAAGCTGGGCAATATACTTTCCGCGCACCCCACTACAATCGCGATCCCTATACTTAACGCGCAATAACGCACCTACAACGCACTTAATATGGCTGATCGCGAATTTCTTGTATAACATGCTATTGCTGATCTTAATGCTAGCATTTTTTCGAGCTAGCGACAAGCTTGTCAGGCGTACAAGATACCTGAATCAACGCTGCGCAGCCGGCGCGCAGGCCAACAACACCACGCGATAGCTCATTAGCGTCAACAGCGACGCACTCTAGAACAAGAGCAGTTTCTTGTTGACTAGATTATAGATGAGGATCTTCGCGCTCACCTGCCTTCTCACAGTTGTGTACGAGAGATGGCTAACTAGGTTCTCCACATAAACAACGATCACGAGCCTCTCAGCCATCTCTAGGTCACTGGCTTTCTTCGTCACACTCTATGCGTACATTCTATCGTCGGCCGATCGATTAAAGCCTCACACGCTTAAGCAGTTACTCTAGAACTATTACGCAACTTTCTAGAGCTGTTTAAGCGCACTAGACTGCGGCTTAGTATACCACCTGAAGTAATATGGAATATAGACGAGACTGGGCTTGCGCTAAGTGTGTGTAACAACAGCCAGATAGTAGCGTCATCCCATAACAAGAAGGCTTGCAAGAAGTCGCAAGAGAATCGCGAGTGGGTATCGATCGAAGAGTGCGTATCCGCGATCGGCCAGCGTCTCCGTCCAGCGATAATCTTTTAGAGAAAACATCTACAAACAACCTAGTTTCCACCAAGATAAATACTAGACTGGTTCTATACATTATTACAGAACAGATAGATGTCTAATAACGTCGCGATAGAGTGGCTGAATCGCTGTTTCATCCTAGAATTAGCGTCATCACTTGGGATAAGCCAGTTACTTCTGCTTGATAGGCATGGATCTTACAGTTAAGACGACCTCATGATAGCTTGCTATATGAACAAGATACACATACTCTATCTTCCACCGCATTCATCTTATATACTCTATCTATTAGATCTCGCTGCTTTCTCGATTGTCAAGTCATCCTATCGTAAGCAGATCGTCGCACTCTCTAGCCTCGACGACGGAGCTTTAATCAAGAAAGAGAGCCTTATTTTATTATATGATGAAGCTTGACGCGGTGGGTTATCGCGGTTAGTAATACAAGCTGCATGGAGAGCTACAGGGCTAGTGCCGTACAACCTAGATCGAGTGGTCGCATCATCACAAATTCGAGGTCGCCCAGTTACTCCACCAGCAATCTTGCAACTAACTAGCATGCTAGACACAATTATAAAAACTCCACAACGATCTTAAGATCTATGCAAGACCTGTCGCCAGCTTAAGCGATCAGAAAGTCTATCACGAAGTACCAGGATGCTGATCGCCAAGGTAGGCAAGGCGATCGCAATAGCAGATACTTAAGCAGTTGGGCTGCAATCGCTGAAAACTCAGCTTCAACACCAAGTTCATAAGATCACAAATGCAAAGCTAATGAAACGGAATGCTATTGACCAAAATGAGCGTTTTAAGAGCGTTGAGGCGGTTAAGCTTGCTGTTGAAACTGCTGCTGCAGAAACAGCAAAAACAGTACGACAACCACAAACACAACTAGCTACTACCTCAGCAATAGCTTCTCCTGATACTTGATTTACTTCTATGTGTAATCAGTTGTAAACATAGTCGGTGTTGTTGAGATATTTAACGTGACAATCTGAGGTCACGCTTTTGGTGGGGTGCGCGGAAAGTATATCGCCCAGCTTAAGTCTCTACAGTATAGCAAACGCGTCTCCTATGCACGGGCCTTAAGGGATGTGACTCTACTTGTAATCTGTGTGCATCTGTAGTGCTTGTCACTGCTGATATGCTTGTTCGACGCAGCTGTTTGTCAGACATCTGCGGACGACACATACTGTATAACTAGTGATTCGAATTAACCCTAGACGCGTAGCAAAAAAGAAAGAAAACAAGGAATAGAGTTTCTGCTAGGATTACTCACTTTCTTGTCTTACATTTGTAAAAGTTTACAGTACAGTGCTAAAGAGCTCATTGCGGCACATTGCGCAGGCGACACTATGCTGTGAATGTAAGGGCACTCGGTCCAATATGAGCGCAATGCGGCAGATCCCCGTCTACAACTGGAACGGCGGCAGACCCCGTTGGTTGTTTAGTTGATTTCGCACGTTTCGCAGGATATCAAGATCGACCTTGAGGATCGGCGAGTTGTGTACAACTTTGCTGAGGACCTCGAAGGTGCGTTCGAAGAGCGCGTGGAGGTTCCGCAGGGTAAGCGAGGTGTTGGATGGAAGTAGATAGTACAGCCTTGACTTGAACACAGCTGCGAGAATAAGCATGTTTCCGAACTGAGCGTGCAGAGTTCTAAAGACATTAGTTAATACAAGCCTGGTGTTGCGTGTGCTCTTGAATCCCACATATAGGCTTTTTTTAGGGGCGCCGACACGGTTGAACGCAACGGTACTTTTGATAGCGCTTTCGATGCATTGAGAAGCGATTGAGACAACATCTTTCTGTGTTTCAGACAGATCAACCTGTGAAACAGGTCTGCTTGTAGGAGTGAGCGTTTCCCCGGTGGCGGACGGCGAGTTGCTGTGGGGCCAATGGCCGTTTTGATATGGGGCCTGAACGGGTGGTGTATATTCCATAATATAGCTTGCGATCTGTAGGCAGGGCCTAAGCATTATATAAGCACCCCCGTAATATTTGGCACGCAAACAAGCAAGATTAGGATCCGTGGATGGAGGATTACTGTCTTTCTAAGCTAGAAATTCTGGTAGAACACGCCGCTAGCTATTGAGTATAGCAATGTGAGATCGTGCGAGCTTGGCTACAGCTATGATGCTGCCCTGGTCGAAGCTTTTGTTTTCGTCTATATCTAGTCAATGCAATACATAACAACATTTTGGCAATTACCTACTAGCTTTGTAAAGCGCATTGTGAGCTTCATTCAGAATGACGCGCATCTATATTTGACTGGAGTATATTATTAAGTCTTTATCGTGCTCGGATTTCCTGTTTACTTGAGTCCCCTCTGTCAGTTCGTTCTCCTCGACAGGGAAGTAGCCGCACACGCCCGTTGGATACATAATGCGGTTCTGATGCACTATGACATCGCTCGTAGGTAGAGTACTCATCTCAGCCACAATATCCCTAATAGCGCAGTTAGTACGTAGAGAACAATCGGAAGACTGGATGACTCACGATTCAAGCTGTAAACATGTCTAATAGACGAGTAAAACCAGCTCTAGCCTGTAACGCTCTTTGAGTGATAAGTTCTTAGATTCTGGAGAGGTGTAGAAATCGCAGGTAAGTTTGTGGTAATCCCTAAACAATGTTAGACTAATTCAGATATCACCAGGAATAAGTCTTACTGTTTGAGCAAGACTATAGTAACCCTGCATGCACTGTTAATCTAGCTCCAGCTCTCTAGCACTCTTGTGAACTGGCTTGTGTAAATTGCTGCTAGTATCATTGCTTGAGCATGTTCAAGGGTATGCCCTTCTTGCTGATACCCAAGGATACTAGTCGCGTAAGAAAAGTACGCCATTCTAGGCAGAATATTGATGTTGCTGAGACAAGTGTCGTCTGAAGTATCGCTGTTGAAGTTACTATTGGTGCGCGAACTAAAAAACTCCCAGGCCCTGTTTGTACAAGGACTTTTCTTGTTTTGTGGATGCGGTAAACTCTTCCTATATGAACAAACCTTACCCAGAGCAAGTACAAGTAGAACGATGGCATTGGGCAACAAACGCTCGATCGCACCCTGGAACGAGTACGGTTCGCTGAAAAAGCCGGTTGATCGCTTTCTCTTCAAACTTGGATTGAGCTGGTGGGCTACTGGCGATACCGAGTTTGCAACCCTTCTATCAGGGCTGTATAGTTCTTTGAATTCTTTAATCATTGTTTGAAGCTTGCTGCGATCTAGGAATGGATGCAGGCTATGCATGTGCTTTATGTACGCCTTGTGCAGCTTGTTTACAACAGAGGTACGGAAATTGGGTCTGCTGTCTGGGCCAAGTCCACTGAGTCCGTACTTATAGCTGGAATAATTCTGCGGTGCACTATAGTTCTTTGAAGGATGTAAGCTTGATTGGTTCGATAGAGGATGGCCTGACAACCCTCCCTTCTCTGGCATCGGCGATGGCGCATCCGAATCGTTGCTGCTTTCTGGGTTGCCAAGTCCTTGTAATCCATCGTTCAGATAGAGACCTTCTCTGACACACTAGACGCGGAGGAGCTCTCTGTCCTGTTCCAATCGCATTGGGTAATCTGACAGCGCACGGCCGCTCTCTCTCAGTTGATGGAGATACTCTACGCCGACGGGAAAGTCCTTTATGAGATCCTACTCCTCTAATAGTTTGTGCGCTGGTGTAGCGTGATTACTTTGGAGGCCGCTTCTTTCTTTTGATAACAAGTTATTTGATGTACGAATTTTGTCTGTTTTCACGCAATTGGTCGGTGTCGCAGGCTGCTGAGACATAGACAGTATAACTTTGTGTTTGATAGGAGGTGGTGTTTGCGCGTCTGCGGTTGACGTATTTGAGTATGGAAACATGGGTGATTCTATATTCGTGCCACCAACTCGACGAGGGTGCATCTTGCCATGCGTTGAAATTGGCATTCTTGATGCGCTTGGGTCCCTTGTTGGGGAGGCAAAAGCTGCCTTAAGAGAAGCGAATTTTGGCGTGTTTCTAAAGCCTTGACTCGGCGGAAGCCGATTCTTGACATCCTGCCGCTATGCACCGAATTTTCTAATGAAGTCCTTGAGGACAGCAGACATGTTGTTTATGCTATCCTGAAGTTGCATCACACTTCTATTTCGCCTGTGGAGTGTCAGCGAGTAGTCGCTCTATGCAGTACAGAAACATACCTTGGCGGAGAACTACTGTTGTATTGGCAGTCAAAGTTGTGTTCACTACAGAACTGACAAGGTCGTGCTTCGTCGCATTTCTGCTTGCGTGCACGACAGAGATTGCAAGCCTGAATAGCTTGAGCATGCTTTCCCTGTACCTGACCTTGTCTAGGGCCCGAGGCCAGAGTAAATCCAGAAGTTAATTGAGGCCCGTTCATTGTACAAGACGCCGGTGTTGGCATAACAACTTCTGGAATGGGCTTTGTAGTAGAGATGTGTAACAATGCGTTTTGTTGTACAGCAGTCGGCAGTTGGGAAGCGAGGTAGTGAAGAATACGATCGGTTCTCTCATGCTAGCGTCACTGCCGTACCACATCAGTCTGCAGAGCATAAGTCCCCGCGTTCATGTGCCTAGCATGGTTGGAATATCGATCTCCAGGTACCTCTGGCACGGGTGCCTAGCGCTTCTTTGGTAGAAGTTTATTTCCTTTTTGAACGCCAGGATTTGTGGACAGTTAGGCGACACCCCTATGTTCAAGAAAACAAAACAAGCTACTTCGTGTTTTGGCTTTATCTATCGCACTCGATCTATGATAGGTTCTGAAGCATTGCCGACCATCGTTGACGATTGCCTCGAACGATGAACGACAGCGACATTCAATGCAGCTTTTTGTCCGAAGTTCCCCCTTAGTATGCATCTATAGTAGCTCACGAGCAATAACTCCACTCAGGACCTCAATCAGCTAGCAGGAACTCTCCTCAGCACTCCGTTAGGCGGGTTCTATCTGATTTCGTTCCTGTGATGCATGGATGAAATGCGTAAAAACGTTAGAGAGATATCCTAGGCAATACAGAGAAAAAGTCTTAGGTATGATAAGCGCACAATACTAGTACTGTGCAGAACGTCATTCTTATACGGCCAAAGCATTCGTAGTTAGCGATGGCCGTTCAGAATCTTTATTTTCCTTCCACAATTCATTCGTCCTTTATACCAACACACAGTAATTACTAACTGCTTCTTTGCGTGTAGTAATACGAGCCTCGCCGTTTGCGAAACTGTGGCACGTTCTTCCAACACTGCAAGGACCCTGTTTATATGTTATACACAGCATAGTCCACCATCTCAAACGTGGCTCTGACACGTGTCCTGCCAATCAATTTAGGTGCGATCTGTTATCTACATCTTTACGTCGTCTCTTTGCTACGGGCTTCTGCATTAAGGAATTGCATCTGCTTACGAGTTAGTAGTTCGCACTATTGGATGTCGATCGCAGGCGGACCATTGATGCGATAGCCTCCCGAGATCCTGGCCCCTGTTAATGCTGTTGGGATGCAAGATTGACTAAACAGCTACTGCAACTGCATGCGAATATGTACGCCTAGAGGTTTAATGGTAGGGTCTATTTCCCTGCGGCGACAGGGTCGATTGAATGAGACGGCTGGCCCCATATTGGCGGGTTGCTAGCCGTGACCCGCGAGACCCTGTTTCTAAGACGAAAGACTAGGGAGGACATATACGTACATCTAGACGGTGGAACACACAAAACTTTGCAGCTAAGGTTAAGATGTAAGCTAATTGGGTCGCCCTAAAATTAATCTCACGACACCAGTTATTTGCGCCGCAACTAATTGGAGAATGCACGCCATTAACGCCCGCATTTATTTCGCGAGCATGTATGCACGCACACCTTAACAGCATTTTGTCCGTAATCTACTGTCTGCATTAGTAAGTCTCCTTTATTAGGGGATCCCGATACCCTAAAAGGCGCTAGTCGCTTGTCGTTGCATCTTTACTAAGCGACACGCATAGAGAGATGCTGCAAGGTGCATGCGTCTCGCGCGATCTGTAATGCATCTAGCCGTACACACCTACACTTAATCTTGCATTTGCACCTAGCATCTAATCATCTTACAGCATGGCGCAGATCTTGGTATTGGATTCTTAGCGCATGCATCTGGTGCTTGATTAAGTAGATGATATGCTTACTGTGTGTGAAGCGTTTGTCCGGACTATTACTGAGGTACGGCTGAGCACCGCTAGTTTGTAATCTGGGGACGTAGTTGGAACATGGGTATGGAGATCTCAGGTCTTGTTAAGTGGGGAATGCGGGGCTTGTTAATGAGAGGGAGCTGAGGTGTGGGATAGGTTGGTTAGGGAATGCTACCTAGGCGCTCTGAGCGTCTGTGTGCACCTGTATCGCTGTGATGTGATATATCCTATTACTCTTAGCACTATGACTCAACGCCACGATATCGCTAGAAGAAGGCCTGAGTCTTTACTGTTGGCACTGGCAGCCTGCTCTACGCAGACACTCTTCCTAAACTCCACCAAGTAGCTTAAGCCTTCTTACGCATCTCTAACCTTACCGCTTAAAAAAAGACAGCTTAAGATCTTATTGACACTTATAACGACTGAGAAATGGATGCCTTCCTGGACTACTGAGCTCTGGATTGTTAGCACTAGTCGCTCCACTCGTCTATAGGTCGACCGGCCCAGAAAAACAAGTACTATAAGCACGTCGAAGCGATAATGTTTTTCTTTTTAAACTTTACAGTAAATCCTTTCCTGCTAGAGACGCTGCGAGGCGACTAATGTAGCGACAGATTATAGTTCACAAAGAGGTACATGATGCACACCTTGAGCACGGCGAGTACGAAGATCGGGAGTTATACGAACGAGCATGCGCTGTTCTTGACCTTTACTGACGATGGGAAGAAGGTCACGGGGATTGAGGAGTTTGCAAACTGAGTTGCGATTCACTATTTGCCTGATTGGGCGACCTTGAAGTTTAATAATTACCCTTGACATCCTCTCGGTTCACTTGCTAGACCGCCTCTCTAGGGCTACCTTAAAGTATAATCAATTAATTGATGCCGTGATAAGAGCTTTAGCCTTTGTCGTCTACAAAAGCCATCTTAAACGATTCAATTTATCTTATGCAGCACTACACGGCCATATGTGCGTACCTGCCTCTAGCAGTAACATAATCTACCGCTTCTAGGTTTCTCGTTCATTTGATATGAAGACAAATGACTTAGGTCCTGCGATCTGTGCTGGATTTGTCCCTCAGTCCTCGGAAAGTTCTGAACTTTATACTCGACTTAACGAGGTATGGAAAGCTCTATCTTCCTTTATAATAAATCTAACTTTCCTAACTAGATACTAAACAGCGCTGAGCTCATTAATGAGTTCTCTTAAGTCTATAGACAACGAACACACGGAAACGAATGCATCGGTGTTACTTCCCAATTAATTCCTACACTAGAAGAGATAAACGATATGTTGAAGGAGGAGGAGAAGATCCAAATTTTACTCAAGCGCGTACAAGATATACTCCTCAGTCATCACCAAAGAGCTCCTGCATTCGCATGCGAAGATTTGAAGCGTCCATGAAACGTTGCGAGAAGACAACCAAAGTTGGTGTAGTCCCTTGACTTAAGGAAAGTCAAAACTTAGGGCTAATACTGTGTAACAGGACTTTGGAAGTCAGCACGGAGGAAGAGCTGGCGACTCCTTAACCGCGTTAGGTGCCAACTCAGCTCTACTCTGGCTGCTAGAGCGTGTGGAGGAGAAGACACCCCCAGACCCTGGTCACTCCATGATCGTCGCATTTAATGCGTGGAATAACCAAGGGTATCCTCGTCAATAGTTTGAGGAGAACCCTCCGAACATAGCTATAGGACGTTTTCGTAGGTAGAGCTGAGTACAATACGTTCTACTAAGATGTCTACTCTTCTCGTACTTTGGTCATCTAGGACCTGCGCAGACTCCTGCATGCGTTTACTGTGGGCACATAGAATCTTAACTAGTCTAAATCTATCTCTCCTCTTCCACACTTGCTCTGATGCTGTTGCATTCAGTATGTGATGGCGGGCTTCTCTGGCGATAAAGTGGCTAGAGATGTAGCACAGCTTGGCATTCTTCTACTTCCGTCGTACTCCTCATCTTAATCCTGCGTATACACAAGCTCTTCACGAGTGTGAAGTCATGCTACTCTGCTTGAATAGCTCTTCTCAGCATCGAAATTCCCTACTACGGGCTCCTGTGGCGTTTGTATACTCTTTTGACTCTCTGTGGATGCGTTGAACGCTGGCATTTTCGACGGGGATGCCTTCGCAGCCAGAACAAGTCCTGACTGACTTCTGGCCGGTCGATCCCGCTTCGCTTTTGCTATCCTACAGCTGCTAGCTTCATACGGATAGCGAGGAAATAAGGACATGGCTCCAGATTAACTATCGCGTGTAGGATATCGTGTGTAGGAGGGCGCCGTAAGTCTGCCATAGCAAGCCTGCCCTAAGGCAGATGCTGGAGGACCTAGCCAGGCTCATTGTCACAAGTCGGTAAGACTTGTTAGTACGAACATCCGCGCTTGCCTACTTCCCATATCAAGAACTATGCAGATAGAAAGCATGATTAAGACGAGGCCCTGGATACTCACTAATCTTGAGCAGTTCTGGACTGAGTCTCTCCCAAAGATTCCGCGTCTTTGTATGTCCCCGCCAACCGCTTAGTTGCCCGCGCGCTTGGGAGAAGCTGGTTGCCTAATTGTCGCTGTGTCACTACGACCGCCAACTCATGCTATCTAAGCATTAAGAGGTGTACTTTGGCGTTGTGATATCACGGCTGCGCCTTGACCACAACCTTCCTATATTTCCTCAATCATCTCGGAGCAATGGGAAGACTGGAGTGTTGTAGTTCTAATGGGTGCATACACTGTGGACTTGTATTTGCTTTCCGAACTATATACCGGCGCATATCACCACCCCCCAAATCAGTCTCTTCTTACTTCCCACTTCGTCTCAACTGTGATACTGTAATTTGGACTCGCCGGTATCTGCTGTCGACGGTGCTCGTAAACAGACGAGACGCGAACAATCTGAGAAGGCTTGATAGACTGCAGCTCAAGTGGCGAAGAAGTATCGTTGTTGCCCACCAATTCTGAGAACGTGGCAGTCGGGTCGAAATCCTGTGTTCTGCTTCCTTCCTTCGAGAAAAAACTAACCCGTCTGCTAACGTAGCTGGAGTGGGTGGTCTTGATTGATCTGTCGAATAAGGGTCGCGTAAGGGGGATGCACGGCAGAGCGATCGCGACAGCCGGCTCGAGGCTAGAGAGTATTATGACAAGCACACCGCTGTACGTCATGTCCGCATGGTCTATATCGGGCAGCAGTACTTGTCGGCATATAGTGATAGCCCAGGTTCTACCCTAAATATTAGCATTGATAATAGAAGATAAGCTGCGTATCAGCGGGCACTTACCCTGTTCCAATACTGAGTAGGGCCATTGCGGCTAACTTCTTGCGCCAAGCCAATCGCAAGTTGTAGAGATATGGCATTGGCAATGCAATAATTATAGCATCTGCGATGAGGTTGACAAGCCCCATTGCGAAGTGAAAAGCTGGTTGGCTACCGCAAGTTCCTGGTAACGTAAAGTCCCAATTCCTTGCGAACGGTCGGCACATCAACAAAACAGCGATGATGTTGGCGATGTTCCATATTATGATTAGGGCACTGAGAATACGAGCCCATTTCGACATAGAAGACTTCGGGATCATCGCCGTATACATCGACAAGACCGACAATTTGCTGAAACACACAGTAGCATTCCACAGCACCGAGAAGGACATAACCCCCTAACACAAGAAGCTGAGTAGAGATTGTAGAGTTAGCAGTAGTTACTCATTACTCTCACCTTAAAGAAGAAGGTTACAGTCCCAGGCCCAAAGCGCTGATAAATTTCCACAATATGGAATCCAAAGCCGCCATGTGTGACCAGTGCCAAACAGCAAGCGTGGAGCGCAATGTTCCATAGCTGGTAGACATGTCAGAATAAATGTGATTTTCACATAGACATACGACTTACCGAGGCTGCTATAATGCAGTAGTCGCTGCAGTCGAGGCTGTTCCTCATGCTTTTGGCGACAAGGCGCAGGCCTACCGAGACAGTGACTATCAAGATAGAAATGAAGGAGGTTACAAGAATGCCAACTTGTCGGCTATTCTCAATAGGGATCATTCCCATCATGGCGAGATGAAATTCAGCTTGGTGGGACTAGCGTAGAAGTGTTTAAAGAGCAGAAACGCTCCAACAATTGCACTTGAGCTCCTTTATTTGTGGCATGGTCTCTAAAGGTGGGCATGTAATTGCTTTCTTGACTGCGTGCAGACTTGAACTCGCAAGTACCGACGGATGTGCCTTCTGAATATGAAACATCGAGATGCGGCTCAAGGACCCGACAGCTTGGTGTCCTATAACAACCTTGTCATCAGGACTCGGCAAGGGGACGATCAGAGTGAATAGCTATTGCATAAGCCTTTTGTTGCTCAAAAACTCCAGGGGTGTGGTTGATCGCAAAATGTATGCTAAAAGTGAAAGGATATCAGGGGTGATGGTATTTCCTATAGATGTCAAGAGGGATCAGACGACAATGACAAACTGGTACCCAATCATAGCTGGAATCTCTTTTGCAAATTTGTTAATATTTTGCGCTATCTAGACTGGCTACAGGCTCGCTGTTTAATCATCCATTTTGTGGGGACACTCGCGTCGTGTGCGAGAAGTGTAATGCGCCATTATTTCAGCCACTGAGATGCGTTTCATGATGTTAAGAGAGCTTCTGACGTCTTCTGACGGCTGTAATAGTTGTAAGGATGCCCTGATAGTCTTATCTTTGCTAGACTGTGAGGGGCGGAAGGATGACGAACACTACAGGGCGGTCAAGGTGACAGAGAAGAGACAATCATCACCTCGAAGTCCTTTCACATGAAGTGAAACCCCTAGCATCAATCGGCAAGCAGATCGTCCTTCCGTAGGGCGGGCTATGGAAAGAATGGCATAGGATGCTGCGAATACCAATAGGAACAAATCCGCAGAATCCGTCTCCGCATACGGCAACTGCTGTTGATCTGTGAAGAAAGTGCTTTTTAAGAGGCTGTGCTCACACGGCAATTGTTGGTAGTATCCGCAGTCCAAGGGCGCAGCTCAAAAAGAACAAAGCCTAGCGCATACACACGTCCACGATTGACTCGGCACGCAACCCTCTCGTATCCACGCCACCAACGCCGAACCACAACACATCTGCTTTAGGTTCTTGGCCTTGCCCTGTCACGGCTCCTAAATTACTTCTTTTCCTTCTAAATCCTGCATGAGCTTGCCATTTCAAGAGAGGTGTGGTAATCGTTTGCAGTGCAGCGATCGAGATGTTGCCTCTAGCGCAGGGACGTTTTCCCTGTTGCTGTCTATATCTATCCCACAAACGTTAGCGCCGGTTCCAGCCGCCTTAACTATGAAGTGGCATCGGGAAACGGTACCGGACGTATAATTTCGTCCCATTTCAGCCACAACGCCTGAAGAGCTGTCGCAGGCCAAGCGCTGTCTGGAACCTTGTTACTAATAACGCCGTTCGATGGTCTTCATATAAGCTCAACTAGGATGCTACATTCAATACAACATACACTCTTCCCTCATTGTTCTGTCCACGATACCCGCACTCAACCGTGCGACATGGAGTTATGACGCATTTTGTATATGTGGTTGTTGTGTTGGGGCGGCGCATTGCTCGCACGAACACAGTAAACGGCCTCTTCCGGCTTACCGTGCCCGTGCGCCCGATAAGCCAGTTCAGCCACCCCAACTGTTACGGTAACCACCGTGGTTCCCTTAACACCTGAACGCACAGATTTTAGGTGGCTCGCTAGTCTACCCAAAATCTGTTAATTAGCTAGCTAAGGCCTAAGCGCTGCGTATAGCCCTAGCTATATCTTTTACTACTTTATATTCTATTCTATTCCTTACGCAACGTCTTGTATTATACTAGATATTATATATAGCTATAATTAACGCTTCTTATAAGCTCTTAACTACGTGCTTATAGTGTCTTGTAATATTATATTGCGTTACACTACTATAACTACTTAAGAGCAATCTAACGCGTTGCAATTAATTCTAAATTAGCTAAATGCTATCTAAGCTAATTCTACTGCATTAAAAGCTAGCAATAAAGCACTACTTACTAATCTAGCTAAACAAGAAAACTAACACTCTTAATAGATTCTAGAGCTTCGCTAAGAGCTTAAGTCTATTAAGACTAGGTCTACTTCTACTACTACTTTAGCTATTACTTAAACTAGCGCTAAGAGAGATTAAGTTTATCTAGAAGAGCTATCTAGAATTAGCTTAAATTCTGCGACGCTATTTAACGCGAACCTAAAGAACCTTCTCTAAACTAACTATCTACCTAACCTGCCTCTATTTAATAGCTAATAAAAGAACCTCTCTACCTTTGTTTGTAAGCTTAGGTACAAGCTTAAGAGAAACGCAGACTAATACCTAAATAAAAGATCCCGCCTGCTATACACTTACTCTAGACTTAAGAAGAACGTAGTAGCTCTTATTAACTTGCTTATAGATAAGAATATCTATAATATAGACTAGCTTGTTACCTTTCTTAAAGCTACCTATAGAGACCTAAACAAGAAGCTAATAGCTCTTAGTTAATTAAGCGGACTCTGTTAAGAAAAGCGCAGCTTTACCTTCTACTTCGCTAAATTCTAATAACTAGCTGCTAACACTAGGTTAAATAAGATTAGCCTAATTGCGTCTCTCTAGAACTCTCTATTCTACAAACTTTAACGTGTAATAGTTAGAGAAGCCTTGCCTAGCGACTTTAACAATTACGCTAACCTAATATCTACATATAATAATAACCTCTATTTTCTACTAGACCGCCTATAACGCTACTCTATAATCTACTCTAACGTAATAGAGATAGACGCGTTAGTATACGCCCCCGCTAGTTCTTCTAAACAATAGAAGAGGATTAAGAAAGGCTACTACTTTAAGTGTAACTAGAAAGGTTACATCTCTAAGAATTACAGCGCTTCTCTACCTACTTAGTATATCTAATTCTATAGCGCGCGTAACTATAACTATACCTAGTCTACTAGTTCTATCTTGTTAGAATTCTCGCGACCTTTACAATCCTAAGAACAACGTTCTTGTAACTAATTCTAGAAGAGAAAAGCCTTGTTCTAAGAATAAGTTGCTCTCTAGAACTACGCACCTACTAAATCTTTACTAAACTCTAGTCTAAATCTTAGACTAATACCTAGAAACATTATATTATAATACCTTATATAGTTTAATAAGGTAGTGTTAAGAGTAACCTTAAAGCCTTAGTTAACACTAGAGCTACTAGTACTAGATATATTTATAGAGACCTCGCGCGCAACCTAAAACTATATTAAGACCTGCTGCTCTATATTATTTACCTAACTAGATTTACTAGAACTATACTTAATAGTAGAGAAGTGTCTTACACTATTACTCTAAAGCTATAATATAATAATTACAATAAATCTATATAACTCTACGTTACAAACACTAGCTATTATAATTTAATACTTAGCTAACTCTAGATAAACAAGCACTAAGTAAACCTAGACTATAATAAGAAAAGACTAATCTTTACTACTTAATAATATAAAGAACGTTGTCTTAGAACTACTAGAACTTCTGTTCTCTCTTCTAAGGTATAGTAGAGTAATAATAGATATAATAAAGCCTACTCTTAAAACCTAAAACTTAAGCATATGCTACAATAACAGTACAACTACTAGCTACCTAAGATAAAGCGCTAGTTAAACAAACTTGTACCTAAATCTATACCTAACTCTAATAGTGCCTAGCTAATAGATAAGCAGAACAACTTATTAAAGTTATAGCTAGAACTTAATATCTACTATATAGGTGCTGCTCTGTTTATAAGCCTAGCACGCAAAAAAAGCTATAAAATCTATACTATTAGTATTGCTAACATTAACAAGGCACTAACTAAGAAGAAGTATACTAATCTACTTACAAAAGTCTCTTAGAAGTATTATAACCTAATAGACATCTTTTTATAAAAAGAGTTTAATAAGCTATCTATACAATAGCTTTACAACTATAAGATTAAACTAATACCTAGTAAATAGTATAGGTTTAGCCTACTATATAGTATATCTTAGAACAAACTTAAAGTGTTGCGTAAGTACTTTAAAAATTACCTATTAAAGAGATTTATTCGCGCAAGCTTCTCTCTAGTTGCCTTCTCTATTATCTTTATTAAGAAACCTAGCGGCGGACTACGCTTCTGTGTTAATTACTGTGCCTTAAACGCTGCTACTATTAAGAACTATTACCTAATTCTGTTAATCTAAGAGACCTTAAGCTAACTAAGCAAGGCTAAGTATTATATAAAGCTTAATATTATTGCTACCTTTAACTAATTAAGAATTGCTAAAGAAGATAAATAGCTAATAGCCTTCTGCACTTAATATAGGCTGTTTAAATACCTAGTAATACTCTTTAGACTAGCTAATGCACTAAGCACGTTCTAATACTTTGTAAACAATATACTACGCCTGTTTCTAGACGTCTTCTGCACAGCCTACCTTAATAATATTCTAATTTATAGTAAGAATCTCTATAAATATAAGAAGTATATACAATCTATTCTAAACGCTCTTTAAGAAGCTAGACTCTAACTAGACGTAGATAAATGCGAGTTTTACTAGACTAAGGTAACTTACCTTAGCTACATAGTTAGAGTAGACGGAATATAAATAAATCTAAAGAAGGTATAAGCTATTATAAATTAGAAGTACCTAAACAACATTAAGAACGTTAGAGCATTTCTAGGCTTTGTAAACTTCTACTAATAGTTTATAGATAGTTTCTTCTATCTAGCTACTTCGCTAGTAGCGCTAACTAAGAAGAATACTAAGTTCCTCTTTAATAATAACTACTAGAAAGCTTTTAATACTTTAAAGCATGCCTTTACTACTACACTAATATTACAATACTTTAACCTAGACCTACTAATTGTTATTAAAGCTAACGCTTCTAACTATGTTATAGTAGAAGTGCTGTTCTAATCTAGACCTAACAGTGTTCTCTATCTAGTCGCGTGCTACTTAAAAAGAATAAACCCCGCTAAGAATAACTATAAGATCTACAATAAGAAGCTACTTACTATTGTTTGC